ATGTAATATTTTTTTTTATGCAATTTTGGTGAAAAACAGAGTATTCTCTAGTTAAATTATAGTTATTTATCTCTACAAGGTACAAGCTTAAAAGAATGGATTTGGAATTAACAAGGATAAAATGTTTTTAATATTATTTTTTGTAAATGACATAGAACATTGAAATTAGACAAATAATAACTTGTACTTAGTACTACTGAGGAGATTATAAGTATGTTAAACGTTTAAAGATCATTCAACGAGTCTTAGAACATGGCTTAAGATTTTGTTGTGATGTGTTTTAATAATATTTATTTTAACCTTCGTTTGGGTCAAGGAAAACTTTCGGGTTTTTTTAAAAGGTACACATTCTGGTCAAAGAGTTTTTTTTTTTCAGGCTTCACTGGAAATCCAAAAATACCAATTCTTTCAGATTTTCATTGTTCCCGCACAACACTATTAAACTGATTTTTTTAAATTATTTATTTTACAACTTCCTTTGTTATTTTTCAATTAAATTACTTTGAAACTTTTTGTGACTAATTCACATTAGTGACATTTTCAGATAAAAAATTGGTGGCTTTTAATATTAAATAAGATCTTTTTGTTACAGCTTGGTGGATTTCTCAAAAAGCTGTGAAGATATATTTTGATGATGCTGATAATTTTGTGAAAGCACCTTACAATACTGACTATGTGTGGAAAGCTATTAAAGAACATTTCAGAGTTAAAGAACGGTAGGTTAAATATTTTTGACTTCGCAACAAAAAAGTTTAGATTTGGCTTGAAGTTTGTCTTTCAAAATATTTCCTTTTGAGAAAACCATAATGTATGTAAAATAAATCATTTTCTTTTGAACAGGGATGAACTTTTGAAACATTGCTATTCTGATTTTGACAAGTCACATTTTGCTGGTCTTTGCAAGCTTCTTGCAGAGGGAGCAAAGAATGGAGATGCTCTTTGCTTGTGGCTTTTTTCTCAAGCTGGCCGTGCTCTGGCTGGTTTTGTGAGAGCACTAGTTCCGCATGCACACAATGTAAGCCTTACTGATTGCTTTCTAAAATAGTGTATATTAATGCGGGATCAACTTGAATAAAAAAAAAGTTTTAAATAGACTGTGGTTTAATAACAAGAAAACTTGCTAGAGTAGTTCATCACAGAAATCAATTTAACATAATGTACCAATAATGTTTTCTCTTCCACCATTTAACTTTGACCGCTTCCAACCCAGTCATTCACCTTGGCACCCTCCAGCCCTTAAATTATTCATTCTGACATGTATAACAGGATAACTCCAATTACATTTTCCTGTTGGAAAGTTAATAGTAGTTGCTGGACTACTTTCCCTAATATATCGTAATGTTGTTCCCATGGATGAAACTTGCATCATGTAGTATTCTTTGTTATATTACAATGTTATTTATAAATAAATTTTCTATTTACCCACTTAATGTACTATTTTATTTACAACTTTATGTCTAAATGTAATAAGATTTCATACTTTCATTTGAACATTTGTAACTGTCACAATATATTTCCAGTTTTGTGCTAAATGTGTAATGTTTTAATTTCAGAGCTTGTTTCCTGATCTTGGAGGTCTTCCAGTTGTGTGTGTTGGGTCTGTGTGGCTCAGTTGGGAATATTTAAAACCAGGTTTTATTAAGCATCTCCAAGAACCTCCAAGGAATAATGAAAAACCTATCGAAGAACTCTCCTTACTTCGGCTAACAACAAGTATGGCTGTTGGTGCAACTTACTTAGCAGCAAAATCTGTGAATTACAATTTGCCTCGAAATTACCAAAACAATTATACAGTATTCTTTCATTACAAACGTAATGAAATAAATGGTGGTCTAATAGACTAAAACTATTAATAAGCATGAATGAAGACTATGGAAGTAGAGTAGGTACTTTTTCTACTGTAATTACTTGACAGAATTTACTGATTGCTATTTACAGTTGTATACATAGATTATGCATCCAAGCATTTTTCTTTACAATCAAACATCTCAAGTTCCCAAAAAACTGTACATAAAGGGAAGAAAAACACTTAGTCTTTTGTATCTTTACTCTTTCTGATGCTTAAAACAGTGGATATGTATGGAAATATGTGAATGTGAGTGTAAGTGGTTTGTCAGGAGAATATCAGTTCAGAAAATTTAATTTCTACAAACTGTGGTTTTGCCTATGACAATTAGAGAAGAATTTACTCAATTGAAGGTATTCTTTGGCCAATGAGTCTCACCTAAAATGTCTAAATACTGCATGAAATAAAGAAAATGAGGTAATGTTGTTACAACATAATGATTAAAGCTGTTATAACAATAATACTGTAATTACAAGTTTATGTGCAGTGCAATTTCTGATAAGAATCCAATAAAGTGTACTGATACTGTACGTATTCATTTACTAGCTTATACAGCAATACTCGTACAAAAATAGGTATTGAATATGTAATTTTCTTGTTCATGATATTCTTTTATTGTAGATTATTATCATTAACACTAATAATAGGAACAGGTTGAAGAAACTTTTCCCCTCCACTTGTATTGAAGAATAAACAAAAACAATAAATCATGTTACCCTATTAAAGGGTAAAGTAGGATTCAAAACTACAAAATATACAATAATATACCTACTACAAGAGATAGATTATAATACCCTCAGTGATACATCTGATAACAACAACAACAACAACAAAGATAGAACAAGTACCAACAAATCTGTTCATTGTAAATAAGTAATTCATATTTAGTACAATTGTCCACTTGAAGGAAATACTTGTAATGTATATTGGCAACATTATTATTAATTTAATTATTCTTTGCTCTGTATTAACCTATAACAATTTTAATTACAGTTATTAAATATAAATTTAAACCTAAATTGTTTTTGGACATTTAAATTTTGCTTGTTATCCAGGAATTGTAATGCAAAAGTTTTGCAAATTGTAATGTTCATTATCAATTAGTGAACATAAAATATAAGTGAATTATATTGCTAACTATTTGAAAAATGGAGTAAAATGGAGGCAAAAAAATGGAATAAATGGGAAAAAGTTTGAATGTTTTAATGTGAATATAATCACAAATTTACATTAAAAGTAATAAAGTTTTTTGATTGTTATTAATCTAAAATCATACCAATTTCATTGCAAACTAAATTTTATATTGTCAAAATATTTTTTACTTGGGTGAAGGTATGTTTTGCAATATTAATAAATGGAGTATAGATAACTGGAAATGTCAAAATAAAAGGGATTACTTTTAAGTGTAGAAATAAACATATCAAAGATTGCTCAGTTGTAGATATGCTTTGTGCTAGAAAACGACTTTCATTGACTTCTGTTTATTAAATTCTGTCGTGTCTTGTTATAATGTATTTTCCCTCTAGTCATTCTAATGTATTTATTCCATATTTAAAAAATGATTAAAATGAAGACATATCAACAATAACATTTATTGTCTGTTCTTTTCATAATTATGGAATTGCCGGGTTTGCAGTTCTGAACATTGAAATATAATTTCTTCTGCATTTTGGTGGTTGTTGTTATTATTGTAGCTTTTATACAATCAGTTCTAATTAAACTTATTTTAAAGAAAGCATTATGGTAATTAGTGAACAATTGTTTTTTTTATTAATTAGGAACAATTTGTATTAGCAGGATGATCTTATGATTACACTATTAATTAGTTGTTCTGATTGAAATAAATATTCTTCAATAAGGTGTTTTCAAAATACTCTATCTTCACATTAATTTATCTATAATGTATGCCGTGTAAAATGTAAATTGTCTGATCTGCAAAAGGCTCAAAGAGTGAAAATCAGTAAAGTTTAAATGAGTGTATAAATACCATTATACTTTTTAAATTAGCTAAGTATAAACATTTACAATGAAACTCTTTTGTATGTCAAGACGCAGTTTGCTTTAGAAATAAAATATGTTGAGATGCAACTGGAACTTTCACAATAGAACAATTGTTTCTTGAACTTTAATTTTATAAATGTATTTTGATGAAATATCATTAAATTGTTCAATTTTGTGAGGTGGGTCTTTTAACTGAATGCACATGTAGTAATAATACTTTCATAAAGTGTTTGTATCTGAAGAAAAGCTTGTTTTCTATTTTATTTCTTTTATGTGCTCTGTGGACTGTGTATCACTTTCTTGGTTTTGTAGAACAAAGGATAAAAATCATATGAATGTATGCACAATTCATACAAGAATATTATTGTACTTTGCCAGTTTGGTGTTAATCGATTTTGTAAAATACCTCAGTTCTCCTAGTTATTAAAAATATTACCAGAACAAACAATTCAACTGACAAACTTTCTTAACAATTATTATTGGCTGCAGCAGCAACGTTGACAACATAATTAATATTATCAGTACTAGTACCAGTACCAGCACTTGTTTGTTTATTTATTTCAATAAATGGGATGAACCCTTTACAAAAATAAAAAAAATACATACATAATTACAGAAATATACAAGTACAAAATATTAAAATAACAAAAATTAAAATGAAGTCATAGCCATAAAGAGGATAAGAGTGTGGTAAAAAAGGGGAAAAAATATTTGGTATCAAGAGTGTTTGAAAAGAAGAATTTTAAATTGTCCTATAATTCGCTTAGTCAGGATTGAAAAAAATTATGTTGGGCCATGATGTATTAAAGAAATATACAATGGTATATTTTTACCTATTACTTTACTAATTTCATCTATAATATAAACAATAGCATAAGTAGTATTTTACCCTACTTGAAACCCAAATTGATAAGTATTACTAATGTTATGTTTGCATCTAAAAATTTGAAATTTGATTTTCAACATTTTTGTGAAAATCCTCACAAAGTTTGAGATTAAAAAGACTGCTCTATAATTCATAGCTTTATCTTCATCCTCACTTATGAGTATAACTTTTGTTTCAGCTTTTTTAAAATGATTAGGACAATTTCCAGTTTCCATAATTAAATTAAACATATGAGTTAGTGGTTTAGATATTTATTTTGTAATGCATTTAATTACTTTTGTAGGAATATCATCTAATATACCAGCTGATTTCATAGTGTTTAAAGTGTTTATAATCTTTTCATTCATGTTTATGAAAGGAATAGAAATAAGGAATGAACAATAACATCATATATATTAAGCATTGGAAAAAGTAACTATCTGAATTTTACCTACCATTTCTACCCTATTTCTATAAAAATATATTTAAATAATTTGCAATTTCATTTTCTTCATTAATATAAGCTTATATTTGTACAGAGATTAAAACTTTAATTGATTTTCTTTCTGTTCAATATTAATATTTAGAATATCCCAAAGAAATTTAACATTCCCTCTGCATGATAAAAACAGCATTATAATATTTTCCCTTGGCTATTTTAATATATGTCCAACATGTTATTGTATGTTTTGTATTTATCTATAATTACAATTTTTAACAGGTTAAATTAATTTAATTTGCACTCGCAGAATAAATTAAGTATTTGAATTAAAGATGGTCTTTATGCTTAGAATCGATGAGTAAGAGAAGTTTAAGACAACTATAGGAATTTTTAAAGTCATGATTGCAAAAATCTACCCTATTAGCATAATAATAGGTGGTTCTAGGTAATCTATTGAAGATATCGTAATAACTGTAGTTAGTAGAAGATGCATCCACCCAGAAGCAGGTAAGATTTCTTGTTCTCATCTGAGGGATGTGAAGAGGGAAATGAGAAAGAAGTTCAGGGTAATCGATGAGACCATGTAGTATTTTATGGAAGAAAATTAAATTGAAGAATTTTCTCCCATCCTGGAGAGTTTTCAAATTTAAATAAATTGTAGAATTTGGAAAGGTTATGATCAAATCTATGAATTGGTGGCCCATTTCTGAAAGCTAGATGATGTATAAATATACATTGTACTTTTTCCAAATGATCAATTCATAAATTAAATTAAAATTATTAAATATTAAAACAAATTTGTTATATTATATAATTATTAATAAATCTTTTTAAAAAATATAAATTTAAGGAGACCAAATGACAGAGGCATATTTTAAAAGAGGATGAATCAGTTTTATAAAGAATTAATCAGTTATCAATGAATTGGAAGGGGTTGGTGTTGTGCAAAATCAGACTTAGGGAACGCAAAGCTTTATTCACTGTAACAGTAGGCCTAACATATTAAAATCGAGTTGTCAAACTGATGATGCTAAAACAGCATGTACTGTTACGTGCTGTTTTTTCGATACTATTTATACCTCAATTTCTCTCCGATTTTTTTTTTTCAAACCTCAATTAAAATCGTGGAAGATGTGGTGCGAAAAATAAGCAGAATGCAAAAAAGTAAAATGTCTCTGCCTCTGCCTCCCTCTGTCCCTCTCATACATATTTAATTGCAGATTCTGCACGTCTCTGGTGGGGTAATATAGAGAAGCGCCGGACCAGCAGTAATGGATGTAATAGAATGTTCAAGATCTAATCCTGTAGTTAAAAACGTTTTTGTTTGAGGCCTTCGTCGGTAATATGATGCTTTTACTATTCAAAAGCGAAAAGTGGGGGCCTGGAAATGGGAGTTTTTAAGAAATGGAGAGAGCGGAACCCAGATATGAGACCTACCCTAATTTTTTTTATTTATTTACGTCAAAAACAGATAAAAACTGTGTTTGACGTGCTATAGGAAGAAGTTAATTTGAAGTTACATTTATTCAAGATTCAAAGAAGCTTGCCAGTCAACGACGATACATACTCAGAAGTGGGAAATTCACAGCAGAACAACTTGCTAACATTCACAGAAATGCAGAATATGTTCTTCGATGGAACTACCCACAAGACGAACATGTAGAATTTGATAAGATGGTCCTGTTGAAAGTTCATCTCTTTCCGATGAAACTTACGTCAGTTGTGAAAATTCATCCGGCAACGAATCACACCATAGGATCATGATGCGAAATCTCCTTCGACGCGAGATAGTTCTTCAACTACCATTCGAGTCTCATGCACCGTTCAGAATAGATGAAAATGCCAAAGCTAAGAGAGTGATAGATACAACGAACTCTGTCTTGAAAGAGGTGGTCTGTCTTAAAAGAGATCTAGATATTACTGAAATCGGTCACATTGTGTATGCAACCGGATATCTGGTATCTCAAATAACTTTGAGGCCAGCCAAGAACACCGACGGCCGATAGCAACACAGAGTGAAATATCGAAATGGGCAAAAATTATTATAAAACGGATAGCCGACACTCGGCGTGAAATATCACTCTCAGCCGAGTCATCTTCTCAATCAACGTAGAATAGATTTCCGTGTGCAGAATCGGTTTGAAACAGACGCGAAGAAATTCTATCGTAATCTGACTCAAAAACCGAATGGCAATGTCATAAAAGTGACCCAAATGAATGCCACAAGAAAGGGGAAAAGCTTCGGTTTGGCGTGCACTCCCTCTAGATCTTCGTGAATTCTTTTTTTAGGAGACCTTGCAATACTGTCGAGTAAGATTGTGAACTTTTAAGAATTGTAAATGCAAATAAACGTTCCACCTATTGTCAATCATCAAAAAATTGCGTATTCTTTATAATTGTTGTGAGAAGCAAGTACTGATGAATTATCTATAAACTAACGAGAATGAAACATCTCTGTCAGCGGTCGTTTTATTGACAGAACAAGTACATGTGTGTAGTTGGTGCCGTCTTGGCAGTCTTCTTCGTCCTCGTCGTCGTACTGGTCTGTCGTTCGTCGTTGTCGTCATCCAAAATATCTGAAAATATTCGGAGGAACATCATAATTAATTAGTTTTAATTCGCGCGAATGTTGAATATTTTATAGTGAAGAAGAATATGTGGCTTATAGATTGTTGTTGATCACCTTACATAATAGATCGTAGTCGTCATCATCGTCGTCATCGTTGTCGTCGTCGCCGTCAACGTCGTTGTCCTTGAGTTTTAATCGTCTTCTATGTACATGTGTAAAATGTATAAATAAGTCAATAGCAAAAGAAATCAATTGAAAAAACTATGTAGCAGTGGTGTTTAATTTCAAAATAGCAGTGTGCACAGATGGAAAAAGTTGTTGCATAATTAATATATTTTCTCTACGCATCAAGTAATTATGAATCCATTACTATTGAGAATTTAATAAAAGAAAAATTTCAACATTTGTTGACCTCCCAGTTGAAAAAAATCCAATGTAAATCTGAATTACTTTCTATTACAATAAAAATATCCATCACAAACTAGTCCAACAAATGATATTGAATGTTATTAAAGTACCAGCATTAATCGATTTTCACATGAACAATCAATTTACTATCAGAACTCATTTAGTTTTCTCTTTTGCTGATACACATTACTGGTTTGTTACAACATTCTCATTAGGTATTATGAGCTTAGCAACATCGATACAGAATCTTAAGATACAGTAGCGATAACTAGGCAATCAAACTTACTTTGGCCATATAAGAAACACCTAGCAAGTCTTTAAAAATACGAATGGGACTCTTCTGAAAAAAAAACTTCTCTGAAGTGAGAACAAGGATAAACAAAAAACTATTAAGGATTCAAAATGAAATTTAAATGAATGGTTGAGAATGAATGTTGTCAGTCGTTTTATCAAATTAATAATAGGGCAATTTTAGGAAAAAAAGCACCAAAACATATTTGCATAAAAACATTTACATATCAAAAATATTATAATGCAATCTATACATGAGTTACAAGTTGTGGAGCTGTGTCGAGCTTGTGTGCCAAGTGCTGCTTAACGTTGTAAAAAAAAGTTTCCCCACAAACTCCCTATTTTTCACCTTGGTCGAATACTAATATTCAAAGAGTAAAATGCGCTGCATATCGAGCCCATGAGCATTCTTAGGGGCTGTGTCCAAAGAGTAAGTGTAAGTGAATTGGACTCAATGAGTTGTTGAGTTGCTGTTGCGCAAAGTTCAAGCCCAAGTTGGGATTTACAAAGCTCTGTTTAAAGACACATATAACATTCCTATTCATTAATGTGAGTACCTTTAAAAAACCGAAAGCAGAATGCAGAGAGTTCGTCCATGTGGCTGATTGTGAAAATCCTGCATCCCAAAGCATTCCAACCAACGAAGAAATAGTAGAAGAGTGATAAAAAGTGTCAAACTGTCCCATTGAGAAAAACCCGATGACACTAGCGAGAAGAAAGACATGTTAAGTGTAGGAGAACCTGACAATGAGCAGAAAAGCTAGCAAGCTTCGTGACAATGAAACTGTAGATACTCAACGAGAATGTTTCAATAAATGTGATATGACACAAAGAGTTTGATTGGAGATTTGATGACGACGTTAATTTAAAAGATGCTGAAGATACATTTCGGATGAGAGAAAACCGTCAAGCGACACACCCAATTACAATGTTCCTTGTATTGCTCTGAAATACGTAATTGAAAACAATGTTACATTAATTGATTGAATTTCAGCAACGACGTTTAGTAAGCTCTTATGCAAGGCTCAGAAAGGAAAATATCAATTTAAAGTTGCTTACGAGATTCAATCCAAAAAATTATACTTTATTACGTACATGCCCATTTAGCATTCCCAAAAGAAACGTCTATTATGTTTTCAAACAGAAGCTGCACGCCAAAATGAAACTGTTAAGCAACTATTAACCTTTTTTTGTATTGCAGTGTTACAAATAATCTCTTTTCTTTCTCAAGTTCTTGTAGACTCGTTAATTGTGCAGTACAGACTCAGAGATCATTAGCCTGGTTTCTTTTCACTTTTTCTTGACTTTGAGAGTTTCTTGTAGTTATCATGCTATATTAGTAAAACATTGGATATATATTCGTATTGGTAATGCTTAAATGAATAATTGTATCATAATGAATAAAATAGTCCATTTCTGTTTTATGTATCACAAATTGTTCCTTCTCCTTTTTTCATAACAGTATCAAAATTTTAATATAATACATAATGTTTCTAGACAATAAAATGTTTATCAGTGACTGTTCATCCGTAAAAGGGGTGTTAAGAGAGTTGACTTCTTTTGTTTTTTATTGTTTTCCAGTCTGTGAATCAAATTACAGTAGAGTTTGTATAGCCCAGATAGCTCATGTGACTTTGTATTTTTACCTACTCAAATGTTTTTATAGTAATTTTTGTTTGTATATTCCTGAGAAATGTAAATTAAATTGACAATTGTTTTAAAGTGGAAGTAAAAAGGGAAAAATTATAATTCATCCTTAAAATGAATGTTGCAAAAGGTTTATTGTTGAGTCAGTTGCGGATATTTTTATATAGATAGAGTTGTGTCATAAGATTATACATATAACTGTGTAAAGATATTCCAAATTTTCTTTTTCCAAACTTTTTTTAAAATTGTGTTGCATGGTACAGTTATTGATTTGCTTGTGTTTTTACTTATTCCAGGATCTTAAACAAAGTGCTATTGAGGATTGTACAAAAGCTGTAGAATTAGATCCAGCTTATTTGAAAGCTCGTTACAGACGTGCACAACTGTATGAAGAAACTGATAAATTGGATGAAGCTCTTGCAGATTATCAAGAAATTCTTAAACTAGATCCTTTACATCGAGAAGCATTGTATGCTACAAAAGTGAGTAACATTTAGATTTTTACATATCCGATGAAAAAATTGTAAGTGTTAATTTTTATTGAAGTGCTTAATTAAATTCGTGTGATAAATCATTTCACAATATAGATTCAGCTCAGATGTTTTGAATTGATTATGAATCTGATTTATGTAGATCCTATTTTCAGCAGTAATAGTGGAAAAAGCTGTTTAATTTTTAATGATTTTACATGAGCGAGTATTTTAATTTATCTTGTGAGCTAATGATAATAATAACAAAGTTAGAATTTATTTTTAATTTTCTGTATTCAAACTAACAATCAATACAAATTTAACACAAAAGACAACAAAGAAAAAAATTGATATGACAAATTCTGGGACCCAGAATGTGTTACCTGTTTTGAATCATTTATAGTTGTTAGTCATTCTTTTTTGAATTTGCTTGTTTTGATAAAAGAAAGAAAGTATTATTTTTAATAAAATAAGGTGGAAGCTTGGAAAACTTCCTGGTAGGGGTAGATTTCATTGCGATTAAATTTGTAAATAGTGAAAAAGATGGTTTAAAAATGAGCATTAACCTATAATTCATAATTTAATTTTAAACTCTTTTAAAAAACGCAGACTATGTAGTCTCTCTTTGTAGAGATGTTGCTGCTTCATCCATTTTATTTTATTTTATTGTCGAGTTTTATTGTTGTGTATTAATAAACAAATTTCAATTGCTCTTGTACAAAAACCCTTCTGTAAACAATAATGTTTGAATACAGTAGTTTTACAAGTCTGGAATATTTCTAGTGTTTATGGAAAGTAAATGAGTGAGTCATTATATGATGATTTGATAGATGAATCAATATTATATGATAATTTGACTTTCTTCCTTTCTCTTTCATTTATTGTTAATCCATTTAAAAAGCATCTCATGTAGGTAAAAATTAAGATTTTAACCGTATGGTTTTCTTCCCATAGAGATTACCTGAGAAAATACATGAAAAAAATGAAAAGATGAAAGCTGATATGATGGGTAAGTAAAGTGAAATGTGCTGGGAAGTAATAAATCTCTTCCGAAGTTATACCCCTAATTTCTTTCCTCAAATTCTTATTTTATTTCATTTATTCTTGATAGCAGAGTTGCTCAATTTTACCTTTTTTACTTGCAGCAAAGCTGAAAGATCTTGGCAATATGATACTTCGACCATTCAACTTATCTACTGACAATTTTCAAGTAAATCAAGATCCAAATACTGGTGGATATTCAATTAACTTTAAACCTAATTCACAATAATGCATTTTATCAAGAAATCAATATGACTGCCTTGAATTTAACTCTTCTTTTTGTAGAAATTTATTTTGTTGTGTGAAGTTTTGAAGCTTCTGCAAATAAGACAGCTTGAAGACCATGATATGAAATCAGTGTGTTTTGTGAACCCTGTTTTGTAATGATTTTGTACATAGGATTAATGTACATTCGTTATTGTTTTAAATTATTGAACTTCAAGTGTTGGGACTTGTAAAAATGCTTTAGAATTAAATAAAGTTATGAAAATAAACAAAATAGTTTACTAATAGCCAGGGCAATTTGTTACAATGAAACATATGTACTGCATTTTTATTTTCAATGATATGTATTTAATGCCAGTGTTCTCTGTTTGTAGAATCAAGTGTGTTGTGACGATGTGATTCGTTAAACATGATATCAAATACTACTTTGCTATAATGTGATATATTTTAAGTACTGTACTGATTTCACTTTAAATTAGGTAAAGCATATGCAAATACCTCTGTAGATAATGAACCAAATAAAATGTTTGTTTTACATAGTTCTTCTACAATGAAAATTGAAATTTTTTACAACACTTCAAAATTTGTTTTCAATTTTTTTTTTTATTAAATTTTGTTAAAATATATTAACAGATTACCTAATAATGTGCAATCACACTTTCACTTATTCAGGTTTAAACTGCATAGTTCTTTTTGTTAGTCAAAGTCATAGTACGAATAAGATTATGTTTGAATAATAATAAATTGTGTAAAAAAGGACTCTTTCAATTTTATCTCCTATAAACAACAGAGATTATGTTGACTGAATGCCCATCTCAAAAATTTCTCTAAGTAAAAATTGTTTTAAGAGTATAATAAATATTTATTTTATAGTCTGAGAAAGTCGCAAACTTGCCATTTTTTAAAATCAAAAATACTTTTCAATAACTTATTAATGTTAGAGTTGTTTTATCATTGTCTTCAGTCTTCACATGCCCAATAGACATTTGAATTTTATTGCATTGTTTGTACTTTTAAAATGTAAAGGTTGTAAGGTAAATCATTGTAAAGGGAAATCAAAAATTTTTGATAATAGAAATTGGGTAATAATGCTTATCTCATATAAAAAAAACAATGTTTTTCTGTCTGTTCGTACTTCATGCGCTGCTGTACCATTCATCTGATTGTGATAAAATGTTGTCAACTTACTACTTGCTCTTGTGGGAAGAATATAGGCATAGTGTGATGGGAATGTGTGTATGCCTGCGCATGTAGACCCTGAAGTATTAAGAGTATCTGTCCCTGTTATTATGAAATAACACCTGGGTGACACAGGGCAACCTAAACGCAGAGAGAGAAACTAACAGAAAGAGAGGGACAGGGACAGTGAAAGAGACAGAGACGGAAGGAGAACACCTTCCTATTTCCAGTAGTGTTCCATAAATTTGGACTTAAGGTAAAAGCACAATGGAATTGACCGATTCTAGTGATTTGCTTGGTTTTGTTTTCAACTTGTTCCTAATGGCTTCTTGAGGAACTATGAGCTGTAACATTGAAACAGTCCATATTGCTGAATCTCCAAGTTTTTGTTTCTTCCTCTTTATCAACTTGTAGTTTGAGGATTTTGAGGCAAGATGTGCACAAGTGGCGCTTTTTAGATATGTCAGTTCTATCAGACGTATGATAACAGCATACTGTGTTCAGCAGAAGGAAATAAATTCTTAGATTAATCTTGCTCTCTCAAGTAACATGAGGAAATTCAGGCCTGAGTAGAGTAT